TATTCTACAGGGACGGCAGATAGATCAGGGGGCTCGGGAGGTTTGGGAACAGTGGGATGTGTTACACTAGCGGACTGGAGACAATGTGAATGACAGTGAGCACTCCAGCTAATGAGTGAGCCAGTAGACCAGTCGAATTGGGGATTGTGGAGTTTTAGCCAGGGGTAACCTAATACAACAGGAGTGTTGGGTGATGAAATAACCAGTAAGCTAATCTCCTCACGGTGATTACCAGAAAGGATAAGTGTGAGGGGAACGGTTTGCCGAGTAATGTTGGCTAAATGTTTTCCGTCTAAGGCATTAACGGGTTGGTTGTCAGGGAGTTTGATAGTGGGAATGTTTGCCTGAAGCACGAATGCCGAGTCAATGAAACTCTCCTCGGCACCTGAGTCGACTAGTGCTGTGAGGGGAAGGGAATTTAACTGCCAGCGAAGGGACGCTTTTAATTGCAAGCGACTAACTCAGCTACTGAACCAGAGCCCTGACGAAGATTCAGTAAGCGTTTAGCTGCCTCTTTGCCTTGCACAGGATGATCAAAAACTTTTCTTAATTCGTCAGAAAATCGCTGGAAGGTTTCACAAATAGGGGAGTGCTTCTCCCACAGGGCGGTTGCCCACTGAGCTGCTTTCCCTGACAATAAGCTAATCACAAAAGCCACTCGGGCGCTATTAGAACTGTAGGTCAACGGCTGTTGTTGGAAAACTAGTGAGCACTGAAGCAGAAACCGCCCACAAGCCCCCAAATCCCCAGCATACCGTTCAGGTGTAGGAACGTATGGTTCCCGGGGCGGGGGAGGAGGAGGAGCCGCATGCTGCATGGCTGGAGAGGCAGAGGGAGTAGCTGCTTCAGTGGCGGTGGTAGGAGCTGTGGGAGGGGTGGAGACCTGATCGAGCTTGGAACCAAGGGCGGCCACACTGCAGCGAAGGTCTTGGATGGCTGCCACGATCTCGTCAAGGACCTTCTCCTGTTGGCTCCCTCGTTGTCCCTGGTAGACCAGTGCGCTTCGGACGGAGTCTGGGTCCGCTGGGTCCATGCGGGCCAGATTGTTCTGTCAAGGCTGGTGTTAGGACCGGACCCAGGAGCAGACACCCAGACAGTATGGAAGGTTTAAAGGGGGTTTTATTCCACGCACACACACACAGGGGGGATGAGGGGCGGCCACAGGAACGGGTGGTTGAGATGGCGGAAGAGACCGGAGACACAGAGGCACAGGTGAGCAGACACAGGAAGCCAAACTGCACAAAGGGACCCACCACATAGGCTGAAACAATCTGGCGATGAATGGGAGGAAGACCGGGGTTCTTGAAGACTGAGGCATGATGAATGATTGAGAGCAGGTGAGACACCAGGCCGCAGGTGAGGAGAATGGAGGCCGCACCCTCAGACACACAGGGAAGGGGGAGGAGCAAAGGGAGCAGGAGGGGAGCAGAGCCATGACATTCAGAACCGTAATTCTAATCAGCCTGGCTCACAGGACCGCCAGCTGATCCATGCAGCTAAACCGCAACTCTGATTCATCTTACTTTGGACCGTTGGTAACGTACTGGGCATAGACAGATAACTTAACAGAGTTAATGGCTAAACAAGGACTGTTTAATTATTGTTAATGTTGCTGATGTGTTTTATCTAAAGGCACCGTTAATCTAAGATCACACACATACATATTCGGCCTAACCCTTATCACACACACGGGGGTAGGGATTTCAATTCAATTTTCAATTAAATTTTATTTAATTGAAAATTAAGTAATAATTTTATCATAAAAGGAGCTCATGAAGTCGTTGCTACTTAAGTTTATGGGGATATGTGGCTCAATAGAGCTGTGACTCTCTGTCAGCCTGGCTACAGTGCTGAAGAGGAATCTAGGGTTGTTCATATTTTCTTTTATTAGTTCTGAGTAATAGGCTCCTCTGGCTCTTCTGGCATTACCCTCTATGGTACGCATTATGATGCCAGTTAGGAAAAAAAATGTTTGGAGTGTTTTTATGTTTTAAAATAGACTAAATAAACATAATCTGAAGAAAATTTATAAAAATTTTTTTTTTTTAAATTTTGGGGTTTGTTGCCTGTAGTCAACATTGTACCATAATGGCGCTAAAGTGAAAAAGAGAGGTATTTTTTAAAATTTGAACATAATTTATTAAATAAACATGTGTAAAAGATTCAATAGCTTCAACAGGTTACAATACATGCCATTTTAAATTGAAAAATATTATAAAAGGAACTATTTTAAAGGGTTTCTTGGCTGAACGTTGCCTGTAGGCAACATTGTACCATTGTGGAACAACACACTGAAATGAATGTTTCGAAGAGTTGTAATTCTAAGCGTAAGCGTAATTCTTCAAACTTTAAATGAACTAATTATCAAAACAAAGATCATAACCATTTGCAAAACAAGAAACTGGTGTTAGATTCCAGTGTTTGATCATCACGCCTTCATTTCAATGCATGTTTCCTATCAGTCCCCTGTGTCTTTCATGACATGCGTTGCCATCATTTGTGGTGTTGCTGCTCAGTGCTTATGGAACTCCATGAAGCAGTTTTTTTCAGGAGTGAAGAACAGCTAGGTGACACACTGTGTGCACTGCACTTCCACTATACCCTTACATCAGGGTATTGCACCTGCCCTTTTTCTCCACCCAAATAGGTCAATGGTCAGTGTTGTCCTGACGCACAGGTGATGATGGCACTGCATTCTTCATCACTAATTAATTCTTATTCAACTTCACTATGCCCAACCTGAGGTGTGATTTATACTCTCTACCTCCTTAAAGGGGTATAGAATGAGGCTGAATTCATTCTGTAAATGGAGGAAAATATGTGGAAATTATAAGCAAAGAAGACGAAGTTATAAGGCTAAATAAGGCAAAATTCACTATGGCCTACAGAGTATAGTAATAGTCTGAACTTTACTTTATTGCAACAAACATCAAATTTATCTTTGTTAAATTGTAAAGATCACATTCTTTTGAACATATTATATACCTAAACACACACTACCAAAATCTCATGCTGCCATGGTGATTCCATAATGGTTCACTGTTGCCTCAAGGCAACATATGCAATTGTCCATAATGGTACGTTGTTGCCTCTGGGCAACAGTTGCATTTTATCAAGTTTCCATTACTTAATTAGCAAAAAAATTGCATTAAACCATCAGAAATGAAGGGTTAGTCACATATTATTGTGAATATATTTTTTTCCAGCTGTAAAAGTTCCCGGAAATTATGTTTTCAGACCCTTTTTGTGGTGCAAAATTGCAAAGCTGTTTCCTTTAAAAATGTCTGCAAAAAAGGGTTTCAATATGGCTTCCTGAAAGTCATGTGACAAATTAAAGGATTGTTATTGGTTCCCTATGGTCTTCCCTCTTTTTAAAAGTATAGTATCATTTAAAAAGATGCATTGTGGAGATTTGACAGGCCAAAAATGGGTGTGTTGCCTGAGGGCAACACCGTACCATAGAGGGTTAAGAATATCTTGCCAAATTGAGCGATATTTTAATAATTTGGAAGAGCGCCATTTCCTTTCAGATTTCCTTGGTTTTTGCTTTAATTGGTGGGTTTGGTGGTTGTACCACGGTGCTAGTCTCCTATGTTTTAATATTATCCTCTTTGTAAGAGCGATAGAATCTAATGTTGTTCGTAGTGAGCCTGCAGCACTATTAACAAGATGGTCAATTTGGGAGGGACTTAAGTTACTATAGCAGAAGGACATCGTGCGTGATTCGAGTGGGACAAGACGATTCAGTGTATCTGAGGGGAGTACACTATACGCAGAGACCACATCATCAGTTGATGATCTAGTGTAGTCATAGGCATGCTTGTGGACTAATGGATTACATGTAACAGAGTTCAGCTTACAAAAAGTAACTGTAATCGAAATTACAGAAGGTTTTCAAAGCCTTCATTGTTCTGTTGTCTTATAGAATACACTTGCAACAATACTTCTTATTGATATTTCATTCTCTTACTTTTATTTACATATTTGGTGTTGAGGTAATTCAAAAGTAACGGAACGTAATAAAGTTACATTACTTTAATACTGTGATTACTGATTACATTTCTTCAGATAATTAGTAACTGTATCGAATTACATTTTAATAATAACCCTCCCAACCCTGGTCATAGGTGAGCTCTGTCTCCAACATGTCCAGTAGAGAAGATGTACTGATGTGATCACAAGCAGACAGAAAGAGAAGGAAACTCCTGGCTAAGAGGAGGAAGGGCCAGAGTCAGAGGGCGTATCACTTATTCAGCTTCTTGTCATCCTTTTCAGCTTCAATTATAGTAACGCGCCGCATTTTTTGGCAGTAACGGTAACGGCGTTATTAAGATGGGAAGAGTAATCAATTAGATTACTCGTTACTGAAAAAAGTGACGCCGTTAGTAACACCGTTATTTATAACGCCGTTATTCCCATCACTGATTAAATCTTCTAAACGATCACTGCATCATATGGCTAAAGATACAGCATTGGAGCAGCACTCAGTAATGTTGGGAAAAAGGGTTGAAGTCTTCCTACAAACCTTGTTAGTCTGATAGTATGGTGTTTGACTGTGTATACACAGTGCCACACCACTTCTGGATTTATTCATATATCTTTCCTAATTAGTGTAATTATATATGCTCACTTATGCATCCTCAAATGAGGAGGCTAGGTGAGTTTCTCACAGAGCAAGCAAAATTGTGATTGTCTCATACTTTTGTGTTTCTCAGACTACGTACTGTATGTTCAAAATGTTGTTTTTAGTTTTGATCTGCTGTAAAGGACTTTGTAACCTTGTTAATAAATGTGCTACAAATGAAGTTTATTATAATCTCTTTATTACCATTTTTAACTTTAATTAATAAACAGAAGAAAATTATCTTCAATTAGAAAGATATCATTGGTAAGAGGGTTCTGTTTTTATGCACTTAATGAAAAAGCAAGTGGACAATAGAATAGGAAAAGGATGTGATGTTGGCAAAGTCACAATGATGAAGGCCACAAACAAAAAAGCGTGGTTTCAGAATGAATTTCTTTATTTTGTGGTGCCGGAGTCTCAACCTCTTCAGGGTTTTTTAGAAACTGAAGCCAATTACTTAGACATGGCTGATGCTCTTTACTGTATACATACCATCAAAGGATCAAAGAAAGCACATCTCTGAATGATTGGGACAGTTATTACAGTACAGTTATTATTGTTACTAAATTAGACTATTTTGCAGAACAACCTCTTGAGGTGTTTATAGATTTCTTTCATTTTCAGTCCATATATGATCGGATTGAAGAGAGGATGATATATTATTATTTGTAAAGTCAATATTAAACGTACACCTTTGGGAAACTCAGTTTCCAGTCGCACTAGGAGTATATCACATGCTGCCAAACAGGAAAAATTGATTAGAACTATCAAGTGTGGTACACAGGTCTGTGCAGCTTTTCTCCTGACTTCTCTACAACTTCCATAGGATATTACAAGTATTCTGGTGTATGTAAAAAGTATGAAGAGTACAGGGAGAAATAAGAGATTTACCAAAACAATCAAGCCATATATATTCATCAGTCTTGAACTCACACAGTGAAGTTTGTAAACTGTGCTGTTACAAATTATTCCTTTGAAAGTAAAGTTACAGAGTTTTTTATTAGCATTCAGTATAATTGTCGCTGCAACCTGACAAGTGGGCAGAAGCCAGGCTAAAACCAAGAAAGTATTGACCGTTGTTTTTGTCATGATAGTTGGATATTGCAGAGGTTTACATATAGACACATACCTGTCATAGGACATTGCTGACAACAGTAAGAACTCTGAACCGCCTAAAGTGTAAAATATAAACCACTGAAAGAGACAGGCTGAATATGATATGATCTGTTTCTCAGATAAAAAGTCAATCAAAAGCTTTGGGTAGAAAGCAGTGCTGAAAAGAAGAGAGTTGATTAACAAAGCTGCAATGAAAATATACATAGGCTCATGGAGGTTTTGGTTAATCCAGATAAGATACACAATAGTAGAATTACTGCAGATTATTAGAATATATACTGTAAACATAATCACAAAATAAAGATATCTGTATTTGTCTACATCCACATGCCCATCAAGAGTTATATATGTTGTATTTACTTCAATATCCATTAAGGTTGTCTTAAAAAATGCTAAGAGAAAAAACTACTTTAAGTCTCACTTTGAAGATTATATTAATATATACAGTATGTCAATAAATTGTCATTAATTCAGAAGTACCAGATCTTAACATGCACCTGTGTGATAGTTTAAATACATTCCAGTAAACATTGAGAAAGTGAACTGTTTGAGGATTGTTTTTATCAGCCTGCATCACCCTCCAAGGATCTCATTAAAATCTCCACCAAGTGCTACTATTATCTGAACAACTTCATCAAACTCTGGAGGCCTGCACCCATGGGTTTGTCATATTTTTTTTGATCGTTATTGCTATAACTTTAACTTCTGGCTCTGTCAGGCGAGGTGAAAAGGCAATGGACCTGTACTTGTATAGTTTCCTTTCTAGTCTTCCAACCACTCGAAAAGCTTTTACACTAAAGCCACAAAACCCTTTCACACAGATTCACAAATCAATGCACAGCACTAGGAGCAATTCAGGGTTTAGTATCTTGCTCAAGGATACTTCGACGTGTGGAGTCGGGGATCAAACCAACAACCTTCTGATTAGTGGACGACCCGCTCTTCCTCTGAGCCACAACCGCACATGTTCGATCCTCTTTTGTTTATTATTGTAATTTACTTTAAAAGTAGGTGTGTGCTTAGTTTAACTAGCAGTACAAAACTACTATAAAGCACTTGGCAATGTTTGCACAAGTTCTTCTTGCACTCCTCTGGTGGCAAACTGTGCACATGTAAGCACCTGCACCAGGGAACAACTCCTATCCCAAAGATAAGCTAATGCCCAGTTCACACTATATGACTTAACTCTAATTTTCCACTCGCCAACAGTTTTTGGAGATTGCCGACAAATGCCCCCAGATCAGAGGCAAATCAGAGGTTGCTCCATGAGGACCATCGCTACGTGTGAACAGTTGAAAGACGTGATAGAGAGCTTGTAGATACCTCCTAAAAAGTAGCTAGCAGGCTATTATGTGTTCATGTCAGGGTGTTGGTACTATGGTTTTTGTTTGGAAAACCAATGGTTTAAAGGGGCACCAAACTGTGTCGGTGCCATCAATTAAGGGACCACTCTGTAGGATTTAGTGGCATCTATTGGTGAAGTTGAAACTATGATGGCCCCACAACTCACGAAAAACTTGATAGGCCCGTTTTTATTTCCTGTCATGTTCTCGCAGCACATTCCAACCACCACCTTAAGACCAGACATTGTTCTGATGTCAGGCTTTGCTTGCTGGGCATTGAAGGAGAGAGGAGGAGATGAGCCATCTGCAGCACCACTGAAGCAGCAGACGGAGCCTCAAGTTGGCTGTGACTTAAGAGAGGACAACCATTGGGGCAGAGTAGTTCATTTGCCATTCGGACACAAGCTTGGCCTAAGATCAGCCTAAGCTGGGTCGCCTGAAGGAGGGTGTATGATTTTGGAAAGACTCAAAACACCTAACAATTCTAGGAACATCACTGAAAATGTGTCCAGACACATCAGCAGATACATTTGCACAATGCTGACACCTTGTCCAACTTTAGAAGTAATCCAGCAAGATTTTAAAAAACAATTACGGCACTAAATCATGGTCCAGCTTCCTTCCTACCCAAGTATGTTTCTCAAGATTCTGTCCTACACAAATCAAATATTTTTAATCGTAATTTTATTTCTCCTGTTTGAGAATTCAGCTCCATCTAGTATTGCCTCAGTCGAGATGGGTGCAGTTGTAATAATAATACCTTTTCTGTGCACCTGTTAAATGTAACAATCTTTCTATTGGCTGCACCTATGATAGATAATCCATATTTTCCATTAAACTCTTGTATCTCGAAATATTCTTAATGTGTGGAAAACAAATCATGTACTGCCTATGCATAAAAGCATTGACATCAGTGATCCAATCAGCTATCGCCCAATCTTTCCAGCAGCTCATAAATATTCAAATGCATCACTTTCAGTGGATCATACTCTTCTTTTGGAGACACTTAGATCAATTGGTTTTGACACAAATGCATGTAACCTGTTTCACAGTTATCTTACTGGTTGAACTCAAGCAATAGTTATGGAACGTCATCAATGTGGTTTCAGTGGTGCCACAGGGCTCAAGATTAGTTCATATCCTGTACATAATGTACAATTTTAGTGCTGTAGCAATGGGGATTGTAATACAGTGGCAATTCTGATTAAAGGGGGGGCAGGAAAATATAACAGATGCAAACATCCCAGTAAACAGCACCTATGGGTGCAGGCCTCTAGAGTTTGATGAAGTTGTTCAGATGATAGTAGCACTTGGAGATTTTAATGAGATCCATGGAGGGTGCTGCAGGCTGATAAAAACAATCCTCAAACAGTTCACTTTCTAAATGTTTACTGGAATAGTTCAACAATCACACAGGTACAGGTCAGGGTCAGGTACCAGTGAATAAAAGACAATCTAATCCAGGTTTCTCTATGTCGATGTGATCTTTAAAGCAAGACTTTACTCTGAATGTTTCTTTAGACCTTAATGGATGATCAAGTAAAAACAACATATATAACTATTGATGGGTATGTGGAAGTTCACAAATACAGATATCTTTATTTAGTGATCATGTTCACTGCATATACATTAATAATCTGCAGTAATTCTACTATTGTGTGTCTGATCTGGATTAACTAAAACCTCCATGAGCTAAAGATAAGTCTAAGTCTAAGTCTAAGTATGTGTCTATATGTAAACCTCTGCAATATCCAACTATCATGACAAAAACAACGTTCAATACTTTCTTGGTTTTAGCCTGGCTTGTGCCTGTTTGTCAGATTGCAGTGCCAGCTGTACTGAATGCTAATAAAAAACTCTGTAACTTTACTTTCAAAGGAATAATTTGTAACGGCACAGTTTTCGAACTTCACTGTATGAGTTCAAGAGTGCTGAATATATATGGCTTGATTGTTTTTGTAAATCTTCTACTTCTCCCTCTACTCTTCATACTTTTTACATACACCAGAATACTTGTAATATCATATGGAAGCTATAGAGAAGTCAGGAGAAAAGCTGCACAGACATGTTTACCACACTTGATAGTTCTAATCAATTTTTCCTGTTTGACTGCATAAGATGTACTTCTACTGCGACTGGAAACTGAGTTTCCCCAAACTGTACGTTCAATAATGACATTACAAATAATAATGTATTATCCTCTTTTCAATCCAGTCATATATGGACTGAAAATGAAAGAAATCTATAAACACCTCAAGAGGTTGTTCTGCAAAATAGTCTAATGTAGAAACAATGTTAACTGTACAGTCCTAATATTTCATGAATTGTGCTTTCTGTGATCCTTTGATGGTATTTATTAGAGGACTGGTTTGTGTAACAGTAGCGCATAGTAAATAGCATCATCTGTTTCATCTACATAATGATTAATGTCTGATTGGGTTAGCTACACTATAGACTGAGACCAACACTTCGTACTTGTGGCCATCAGGGTGACTTTGCCAACACAACATCATTTCTTTATTCTATTATTGCTCTGAATTTTCCTGTTGCTTTTTGATTGACCACTAATGTCTGTCACACTTGCATATTTCTTCCTTTGTGTGTTTTCAAAGATCTTAATTGTCATTAAGTGAACATGTCAGCATTTTAAATTAAATGCCCTGTAGGCAAAAACATATGCTCCCAATTGTGATTTAGTACCCTGTGAGAAAAAAGTGCCTTCAAATTGTATTGACAAAAATACATAAACCACATAAAACGTTGTCGCCTTGAGAAAAACAATGATTGTGATAGTGCTCATCATTTTAAATACGCCCAGATATTGGATACCATGTCAGTGATTTAAAGAGGATGAGCTTACTTCTCATTTCCCTCCTTGGTTGAAATACATCATTAAACTGTATTTCTTAACCACAAATTCTATAATTTATTGTCTATTGTCCTTTTTTAAAATTAAGCCATATTTCTCCCTTTCATCTGGAACCATATGTCTCAAAGGACCAGTTCTCAGGTAGCCTACTTCAGCTTCGATGAAACTTCCCCAGTGTTCCATTTCTTCTCAGCACAGATAATAACAATAATAATATCACTAATAGTAGTAACATTAATAATGGTTGTAGATAATGAGTTGTCACAAGTGTGCTTCATTACAGAGGTGGGAATTAAAATGGTTTAAAGGGGCCCCAAACTGTGTTGGTACAATCAATTAATTCTGGCTATCAAAATGATGAAAGATACCAATAAACAATAACTTTAATTAATATTATATCACACCTGACATCCCAGTGCTCCCACAATCCTCTCAGTTTGCCCCATCTAAGAATTAATAGATCTATACAGAAAAGAATGAGGTATCAACAAATCATATGTATTCAATAGAATATGTCCTATAGAATATTAAGTAAATATTAGAAGTAGAAAATAATAAAAACTAAAAACTGAGATTTTGTTCTACTGCCTGGTAATTAGTCCAGTCCTCGCAATATTATAAAATTAGCTTTGTCTTTACAATGTAAAAGTCTGTAGGTTCTGGCTGCAGCTTTAAATCAAAGATGTCCTTTAAAACATTTTCACATATAAAATATTATTTATTTTATGGCTTGGCTGAAAACTTGATGGTTATTATTTATTGAGATATATGCATCCACATTGCCCAGTATGCCCAACTAATCAGCATTTAAATTCAATATTTAATCAATAGTCAATGTCAATTCATTGCTTTCCATCTCACATTACAGAGTTGTAACTTAACCCTGACTGAGAGACAAGATAATTATTGTGTTATTTTAAAATGATGTGCGTCTGTGAGGAGTGCCATCACGCCCCCCATATATTGTCTGGACTGGTGCTGCTGGAAAGCACAAGTTTAATTTCATACACGCGCATATGAACTCAGCATGTGCAGCATGTTATCTTTTCCAAGCTACAGGTTAAACACTGCTGCCCTTTGGTGTTTATCAAACGGGATAAATGGTTTTATTTCACTCTCACTTTAGTCTCTCACTTTTATTTTAAATCGCAGAGCAGCCCTGGAAGACACAGAATGTATGGTCTTGAACCGGAACTTTCCTCAAGTTGCCTGCCCCCTCAAAATCGCCGCCTTGGGTGGGTCAGAACTAACATTTGTCACTTCCTACTAATACCTGGGTATCTGGCTCAACAGTTCATTCTCCTTTCCAATACAGGTCAACAAGCTGCTCTCCAATGTCAGAGCAATAATCTGTGTCCTGTATCAAAATAAAGCATTAGGTACTCACTCCCCAAAGCACACCATGGTTAAAATGACAATTCTCCCAGTCTTAGATTATAGCATCTTAATTTACCCCCAAAAGTCTTCTCAATAAACTGGACGTCATTTACCATACCGCCATCCACTTTGTAAAAGGTGCCCCTTTCAATTAAACTGAATTTAAATTCAACACTCATCACTGTAACCTGTATTCTCCAGTCAACTGGTTCAACTGTTCATCACTCCACACCAGGTGACAGACCCACCGCTATCAGTTCATTTGTAAAACTATCATTGGCAAAACCCCTTCATAACTCACTCAACACTCACTACTCAATATCTCCAACAGTAACCATAAATTGTGTTCTAGCAGATTCATACTTTGGACACTCCTAAAGTCTGTACCTCTTTCGGCTGTCACTGTTTTCTCATAGTGACTGGAACCAGTTGCAAACAAACGACCTGAAGCCTTAACAGGCACCCACACTCCACAGTAAGTGTCTGATGTGATTGATAGGAACAACAAAGCATTAAAGGATTAACAGAATAAAACAAAACTGTGAAAAATAATTACAATTTTAACCCTGGCCTTTAGGTCTCCTGAAAGATTGAGAGTTTTCCAAACTACTGAGCACCCCAGCCTACAAGTTCAGGCCTCCAGAGTTTGATGAACTTGTTTACATGTTAGCAGTTCTTGGTGACAACTTTAATGAGATCCATGGAGAGTGAAACAATCTGATAAAAAACATTCCACAGACTCTTTTTCTCTTGGTAAATTCTGAAGAACACACCGCAAGAGTGTTTTAAGGTCAGGTAACTGTACTCAGTGACAGTTCTTTTCTCAGGTTTTACTCGTATTTGTCAGTGATATAATCTGTTTTTGGCAACTTTAATGAATGATGATTTAAATGTAACATATGTGACTGTTATTGGCTATGTGGAAGTGGATACATCACATAATATATATCACGTAATATTTATGGTCAGGTAACTGTAAATGAAATAGACTCTCCAGTACAGGTCACATGTTTCCTCGTTTTTACTCAGATCTGCCACTTATACAATCTATAAGTCACACAGTTGTTTTTTGACAATATTAATGGATAATGAATTAAATGTAACATATTTAACCTTTGGTGGGCATGTGGAAGTGGACAAATACAGATATCTTTATTTTGTTGTTTTATTTGCAGTATATATTCTAATAATCTGCAGCAATTCCACTATTGTGTATCTTATCTGGATTCACCAAAACCTCCATGAGCCTATGTACATTTTCATTGCAGCTCTGTTAGTAAATGCTCTCCTTTTCAGCACTGCTATCTACCCAAAGCTTTTGTTTGACTTTTTATCTGAACATCAGATCATATCTTATTCAGCCTGTCTCTTTCAGTTTCATATATTTTATTCTTTAGGCGGTTCAGAGTTCTTACTGTTGGCAGCCATGGCCTATGACAGGTATGTGTCTATATGTAAACCTCTGCAATATGCCACTATCATGAGGAAAACAACTGTCAGTATTATCTTGGTTTTAGCCTGGGTTGTGCCTGCTTGTCAGCTTGCAGTGCCAACTGCTTTGAGTGCCAAAGAAAAACTCTGTAGATTTATTATAAATGGAATTTTTTGCAATAACTCAGTTTATAAACTCCAGTGTGTAATCTCAACAGCACGTCTTATACGAGATATGATCATCCTGCTTAATGTTGCACTTCTCCCTGTGCTTTTTATTGTTTTCACATACACCAGGATACTTATAATAACCTATCGAAGTAGCAGGGAAGTCCGGAGAAAAGCTGCCCAGACCTGTTTACCACACTTGATCGTTTTGATAAACTTTTCTTGTTTGTGTGCATATGATGTCATTATAGTTGGACTGGAATCTGATTTTCCAAAGATTGTACGTTTAATAATGACTTTACAGGTAATATTGTATCACCCTCTCTTTAATCCGATCATGTATGGACTAAAAATGAAAGAAATTTCAAAACACCTCAAGAAGTTGTTCTCTCCAGCCAAAATTAAATAATGTATTGACATAACTGATCAGTTTCTTGTTTCTTCTGTGATAATAAATCATCCATCCTCAGATGGCGTTTGGATGGTGTACACAGCAAAGAGTAACATCAACATCAATGATGTAATGACTGATCCATCTGTTGAAGTTAATATTTTAATATTTTTTATTTCATGCCATCACAAGTTTCATTCTGAATTTGTTTGTTGTGGTTCATTGTTGGAATTTGTGGGGGGTGAGAGAGAGAGAGAGAGAGAGAGAGAGAGAGAGAGAGAGAGAGAGAGAGGCAGAGAGAGAGAGCGAGAGACAGACAGACAGACAGAGAGATGCACAGCAACAACAGTATTGGCAATGGCAGTCAAGCAGGACCATGACAGGAGGCTCCACCAGGATCGATAAGAACCTGCGAGACGAGAAAGCACAAGAACTCCGGGGAAGAAGTGAAGTTAGTAACATGCATTAATGGGACATGAATGAGTGCAGAAAGAGAGAGGAAGGGAGGAGCTCAGTGCACCATGGGAAATCCCCCGATAGTCTAGGCCTATAGCAGCATAACTAAGGGATGGTTCAGGACTCACCTGATCCAGCCCTAACTATAAGCTTTATCAAAGAGGAATGTCTTAAGCCTACTCTTGAATGTGGTGAGGGTGTCTGCCTCCCGAACCACAACTGGAAGCTGGTTCCACAGGAGAGGAGCTTGGTAACTGAAGGCTCTGGCTCCTGTTCTACTTTTAGAGACTATAGGAACCACAAGTAGCCCAGCATTCAGAGAACGTAGTGTTCTAGTGGGGTAATAGGGTACTATGAGCTCTTTAAGATATGAAGGGGCCTGACCATGAAGAGCTTTATAGGTGAGGAGGAAGATTTTAAATTCTATTCTACATTTTACAGGGAGCCAGTGCAGAGAAGCTAGTACAGGAGAGATGTGATAATGTTGCCTAAAGGGAGCATATATAAAGTAAATAGTATTGGTCCAAGTACTTAAACCAGCTTAGTGCGGTTTCTTTAATGCCAATTTGATGCTCAAGTCTCTGTAAAAGAATATTATGGTCAATGGTGTCAAATGCAGCACTAAGATCTAATAATACAAGTACAGAGACAAGTCCATTGTCAGAAGCAATCAGAAGGTCATTATTAACTTTAACCAGAGCTGTCTCTGTGCTGTGATGAACTCTAAATCCTGATTGAAAATCCTCAAATAAACTATTGTTGTGTAGAAAGTCACACAACTCTTTGGCGACTACTTTCTCCAGAATCTTAGAGAGGAAGGGGAGGTTAGAAATCGGTCTATAGATGGCTAAAACCCCTGGGTCAAGAGTGGGCTTTTTAAGAAGGGGTTTAATTACAGCTACTTTAAAGGACTGTGGTACATATCCTGATAATAAAGAAAGATTAATCATATCCAGTAAAGAAGTGCCAATTAAGGGAACAACTTCTTTAAGCAGCCTAGTTGGGATCAGGTCTAATAGACAGGTTGATGGCTTCGATGAAGAAATGATTGAAGTTAACTGGTGAAGATCGATAGCAGAAAAACAGTCTAAATATATATCTAAGTTTACATTGGCAGAAGTCCCTGAACTTGGAGAGCCACTGATAACTGTTGATGGCAGTTGGTGATTAATTTTCTCTCTAATAGTAATCATTTTATTATTGAAGAAGCTCATGAAGTCATTGCTACTTAAGTTTATGGGGATATGTGGCTCAATAGAGCTGTGACTCTCTGTCAGCCTGGCTACAGTGCTGAAGAGGAACCTAGGGTTATTCTTATTTTCTTCTATTAGTGCTGAGTAATAGGCTCCTCTGGCATTACGGAGGGCCTTTCTATAAGTTTTAAGATTATCTTGCCAATTTGAGCGATATTCTGATAATTTGGAAGAGCGCCATTTCCTTTCAGATTTCCTAGCTATTTGTTTTAACTGGCGGGTTTGGTGGTTGTACCACGGTGCTAGTCTCCTATGTTTTAATAATTTCTTTTTTATAGGAGCGATAGAGTCTAATGTTGATCGTAGTGATCCCGTAGCACTATCGACAAGATTATCAATTTCAGAGGAACTAAAGTCGTTATAGGACTCTGTTAAATTCAGACATGGCATTGAATTAAACACTGATGGAATCTCCTCCTACAGTACAGTTGTATATCAGTTCTTCACAGCATGGGGATCCTCATGTTTCCTGGAGACAAGATTTAAAAAAAACTCCACAGTTCATCTGGCCTATTACCCTCTACTAGAGTGGAGGCGGCCTGTTCCATCAAGGAAAACTCCATGAAGTCCTTGCGCCAGTTCTCCATACTAAAACAATTTGGCCTACGTTGTTTCCAGTTCATTAAAATGATCCGTTTAACTGATAGAAAAGCCAGAGCAATAATTCTTTGTATAGTTCGCACCTAATATACAGGTTATCGGGCAGGGTTTTATATCTGTGTTAAGGACACGTGACAAGCTTTCAATAACATTCAACCAAAAACTCTTAACAGAAGGGCGGTACCGCAGTAAGTGCATAAGTGTACCCTCCACCTCACAGCCATGCCAGCAACATTTGGATAATGTGTTATCAAATTTATTCAGATTGCAAGGTGTAATGTAAGCTCTGTGTAATATCTTTATCTGTATAATTTTGTATCTGACACTTTGACACTTTTGTACAACTTGTAAGTGCTCTATCCCAGTGTGGGAGGGAAATAGGTACACCCATGTCACATTCCCATTGTAATTTAGTTTGGGAGTTTCTGTCAGGAGCAGCAGAACATAATAATTTATACATTACTGAGACTGTACCTTTCCTGACAGCAATTCCCCTTAATTTGTTTTCTAAATCTTTTTTATTCCCTATCTCTTTGGAGAGTAAAGGTTTCATGACAGATTTTATTTGTAGATATGATAGAAATTCTGCATCTATCAGTCTGAATTGTAATTTTAAGTCATTAAACGGGATCATTTTGCCATCACTAATTACTTGGCCCAGCTGACTTATATGACATGAGAGCTGTTAGGCTGGATTGTTAATTCTGGAAATGGCTTTGGGATTATACCATAAAACTGTTAAGGTTATGCCTTTGTTATAAGCTTTAAAAATGTTTTCCTCAAGCCACTCCCAACTGCCAATCTCTCTAATACTGGAATAGGCCCACTGCAGGGGATATCTAGAGTCATATGCTATATAATATTGGTATATATCTGGAAGTTTTAATCCTCCTTTAATTCTTGGGTTGGTACATTTTTTTTATTACTAATCCTAGGTTTTTTGTCCTCCCAAAGAAAACCAGAAAATAACTTCTTTATTACCTTAAACCAGCTAGGGGGAATTTAAGCGGTATAGAAGACATGAGAAAAGCCAACCTTGGTAATACGTTCATTTTTATGACTTCTGATCTTCCCCAGAGGGGTAGAGGTAAAACTGTCCACCTTTTAATGTCTTCCCTGACAGTTTTAAGCAGTTCTGGTGCATTTATATCAACAATTTTGCTAATTGGATTTTAATTCCTAGATATTTCATACCTTGGGGGGTCCACTTAAAAGGGGATGTGCCCAAATGTGTTTGGTAAGTGAGATGGCTGAGTGAAATGGCTTCACTCTTACTGTAGTTGATCTTGTATCCAGAAAACTGTCCAAATGTGTCAATAAGTTTTAGTACTTGCGGAATATAATACATTGGGTTTGATCATCAACAATATGTCATCAGCAAAAAGGCTGGCTTTGAAATCATAATCACTGACACTAATACCAGTTATATCCTTTTGGGCACTTAGGAGGCTTGAGGGCAAGTATAAAAATGGCCGGGGATGCTGGACAGCCTTGGTGTGTAGACCGATAAAGATGAAATAGGTCAGACTTTATGCCATTTGTTTTAACTGATGCAACTGGTTCATGGTAAAGTGCTTTTATCCAATTTATACATACCGGGCCAAAGCCATATTTAGACAATACATAAAATAGATACTTCCATTCTACTCTACCGAAGGCTTTCTCAGCATCCAGCGACACAGCTATCGCTCAAACCAGACAGTTATTGATGAACAGAGAACAGACTGAATGATGGCGGTGTAGAACTGGATCAACAGTTCCTGAGGCAGATTGAGCTTCCTGTGCTGGAACAAGAAGTGCATCCTCTTCTGGGCATTCTTTATGATGGTGTCTGTGTTGGACTCCCACTTAAGGTCCTGGGAGATTGTGGATCACAAAAACCTGAAGGTTTCCACAGCAGTCGAGGCTGTTGAGGATGGTGATACAGGACAGAGTTGGGGGGGTTCTTGCTAAAGTCCACTGTCATCTCCACTGTTTTGAGCATGTTAAGCTCCTGGTTGTTCTGACCACACCAGAGGGCCAACTGTTCAGCCTCCCGTCTGTATGCAGACTCGTCACCGTCTCAGATAAGGGCGATGAACATTGTGTTGTCTGCGAACCTTAGGAGTTTGACAGAATGGTCTCTGGAGGAGCAGTCATTGGTGTAGAGGGAGAAGAGCAGTGGGGAAAGCACACACCCTGTGGGGGTGCCAGTGCTAAATGTTCGGGTGCTGGATGTGATGTTCCCCATTCTCACTAGCTGCCTCCTCTTGGTCAGGAAGTTAGTAATCCACTGACAGGTGGAGGCTGGTCCGGGATGATGGTGTAGAACACTGAGCTGAAGTCCAGAAACAGAATCCTTATATATAAGTGTTTTTTTTTTACTTTTAACTCTTTATATTACACTAGCCGTGTAGAACTTTATATATTCTATGGATACAATGACTTTTTACGGACAACATAGCAGTGGACATCTTGCTTGCATCCTGCTTATTCAAGGGAGAAGCTGCTTTCCCTACAAACAATGGGACGTGCCGGCATTTTCCACCACATACCTGAGGAGCTGAGGAGGAGGCACCAAGGCTGCAGAGACCGCAGACGCAGCAGCAAAAGCAAAGGAGGGGGACTCGCACTGTTTATCAACAACAGATGGTGCAACCAGGGGCATATTACGGTGAAGGAGATTGTGTGCAACAGAGACATTGAGTTGCTGGCGGTAGGTATCAGACCGTACTACATGCAT